AAAAATTTAAGAAAGGTTTTTTACTTTTTTTTAATCTAATAATTAATCTTTTAATATTCAAACTATATTAAATTATAAAATAAAAATCATTAGATACAACACAATTCCTGTTATTAAAGAGTTCATCAAATAGAATAATTTATATTGTGTAGTTTAAAATATAAAATATATTATTTATTTTTTTTTTAATATTATAAAAAATAAAAATATTTCAACAATTAAAATATCAAAAAAAATTTATAAAATTATTTAAATATTTTAAAGAGTCAATATATAAAAAATTTTATTTAAAATATTTAAATAATTTAATAAAAAATTTACATTTAAATAGTAAGAAGTTATTTTCAATTTTTTTTTAAAAAATTTATTTAATAAACAGTAATTTTCGCATCGAACCCCACCACACATGGTCTTAAATGGACCCCCCAAAATCTCCAACCTTCAGCAATTTTCCCTTTCATAAAACTCCCCACAATCCACCTTCTCCCTCCGTCTCTTGACTCTCTTCTCCCTCCCCTTCTCTGCCTCAGTCACAATCTCTGTATTCAAGAAAAAGGAAAGATGGGATTGCAGAGCCAGCTAAACGACGTTTCTTCGGACTCTATTCCACTCCTCCTTGTAGCCCTCATCGCCAACTGCGTCTGCAGCCTCCGCAACTTCCTCTTCGGCCTCCTCCAGTCCGCTCGCCTCCTCCCAAGCCCAGACCAGACTATCGGCGACGAGGGCCTCATCGGCTCCGGCCTGGCCAGCCTCATAGTTCTCTCCGAGCAGCTCAACCTCAACAGGGTTTTCTCCTATAGGTACTGTTGCGATGTCAATAGAAGCGAAGGAGGGTCCGATTGTGTGGTGTGCTTGTGCACGCTAAGGGATGGGGATCGGGTCAGGAAGCTGGATTGCCGCCATGTATTCCACAAGGACTGCTTCGACGGTTGGCTTGATCACCTCAAGTTCAATTGTCCCCTCTGCAGGTCGCCCTTGATCGCCGATGAGCGCGTGGACGCGGCGCAGAGGCGCGTGGGTGAGGATTTAATTGGGTGGTTCTCTTAAAGCATATTGATTACGCGATGATGGACGTTGATTACGCGATGATGCTGTCCCTGATTACGGTGGTGGGAATTTTTCATTTCTTTTTTATTTTTTTGCATTTGTTTTAGAAGGTTGGTGGGCAGTTTTGACCATCGACACTTTTTTTTTTCCTCCTTAAAATTTCGGGACTCTTCTCTTTTTTTTTTTTTACCTTCTTGATCACGGTATTTTGAAGGCACTCTCTGGGTGGGAGGGTTCCTTTTTTTACTTACCTAATGTAAAGATTTTTACTTCTTTTTTTCTTCATTTTTGGTCTTTTACTTTCAATAAAGAAAGAGTTTGCTAACTCTATGATTTGTCTAAACATTAGAAAATTACGAAATTACGGCTCCTTAATCCTTATTATATCATGGTTGTTTTTACCTTTTATTTATTTATTATTATTAATAAAAAATTATTTTATAATCTAAACCATATTAAATGATAAAACAACATACTTCATATCATACTATAGTTGTTTTTATGGTCTTAGCTTCCTTCTACTTTAGTTTCGAAGGAAAAAAGGGTCTCTAGTTGTTTTTATTTTAATGTTTCTTTTGTGCATTTATTGTTAGGTTTTAACTTTTTTTTTTTGAACATATTTGCAAGGCGGGTTTCGAACTCAGTCCGGAGAGGAGGGAATGCACCGGGGTGGCTATTGCCACTAGACTGTAAGGGACAAATGCATTGTTAGGTTTTAACTTTTTAAAATTAAGTATCGAATATATTATTTAAGGATTTGAATTATTATAGTAGTATATCCATATATGATAATTTTTTTTTATGAACTTCTGTACCATATGATAATTGGTTAATTAATATAAAAAAATAAGCGGTTGCCGCATTTACCGTGATAGAAGGGAACGAATGACCTTGGTTTTTTTTGGTTAAAAGTTTAAGCTGTAATTGTAATTTTACTGTAATTATTTTCTCTCTCTCTCTCTTTTTTTTTAATTGTTACCATTCAAGAAAAAATAAAATAAAAGAATCAAAATAAAAATTAAAAACAATGGTAGTGCTACCCGGAGCACATAACATGCATTTGTTTCCTTGCTTAGATGCATGAATTGCTAGAATTTTCAAATTTTTAAAAATTTTTTAATGTGTGACAAGTTAATATATTGTAAAAATAAAAATAAACTATGAAAAGCTAAGACAAATCCATGGAATTCTAGGTAGAACCCTCAAATCCATCCTAAAAAAATATCGATAGGGACACATCTACTTTTAAAAAAAAAGTTAGGATAAATTACCTCTCCAAATCATAAATCAATACAAATTACTCATTTTTCAACGTTTTTCGTTAAAAATTATTGACGTGACAAACAGAATTTTGACGTTTTTCATTGAAAAAGATGTGATTTGTATTGATTTATGATTTGGAGAAGCAATTTGTCCTTACTTTTTTTTTTAGGGGTGGATATGTCCCTATCGATATTTTTTGAGGGTGGATTTGAGGGTGGATTTGAGGGTTTTGCCATTGTATATTTTACTTATTCTATTATTAAGTGTGAAATGTTTTTATTAATTATTTAAGTAATTCAATGGTAATTTCTTTTCGTTGAAAATAAGAGATTTTAAGTTTGAATAGTATGTTATGCGAGTGAAATAAAAAAAAATTACCTCATGTTGTGCAACCAATTTAAAAAAAAAAAAAAAGTGGAGAATGTTTTTTAAAGCATCAAATTACCATGTAACTTGATTAATAAAGCGCATGCCCTCTATGACCAGATGTAGGAGTACCAATTTCGCCATACTTTTATTTTATTTTGTATCTTAAATTGTATAATAAAATGTATTTTTTTTTAATTTTTACCTTACTTTATTCATATAACATACGAATTAAATGTTATATCACTTATTTTTATTGAAAATAAATTATATTGAATTATTTGAATCATTAATGAATTTTACCACATTTAAAAAAATGAATTTTATTTGTTTTGTAAATTAAATTACCATGAAAAACATATTAACTATATACACACATTGACATACATATGTATATTATTTTGTAACTATATTTAGGAGAAAATATTATCTTTTATTAGATGGAAAGGAAAACAAGTGGGAATAAAAAACAAAACTTAATTCCATTGAAGAAAAATGAGTGAGAAAAAGACTAGAAATATTTTGATTAAGGTAGAGCTAGCTAGCAGGTATGAGATGGGCGGTTCATGCATTGTTGTGGTATAAGATCAACTTCTTTCTGCATCAATGGGCCATTGTGACTGTGACTTGAAAATATGATATTTATTTAGTTTTTTTTTTTTTTTGAACAAGTTGTCAAGGGCGGGGAATGCATCTCAAGCTGGCTCCCAGTTTGCCCGAAAGGTCAAGTGCGATATTTATTTAGTTTTTTTATTGCTAAACAAATATGATCTTTTTATGCATTGGGGGGGACCATACACGGAAATTTAATGCACCTCCCTACCTCTCCTTTTCAGCATTAGTTGTTTTATGCATATGCTACCTTGCCCTCTTCAACATCCCTTTGAATTTTGACATTTGGGTGTGTGACTGTAATCGAAGTGGAATGCATGCCATGTATGTACCTTGTTCCCTCCTTTGTTTCTTTACCCGAACCCCAGGTTTCAACCTGGTTCTTATTTTCTCAACTCAAGTGTTAAAGTGAAAAAGTCTTGAAGGAAAAATATCAAAGAGTTTTATGAATCAAATACAAGAAAATTATTATATTTATTATTAATTAATTTTAAATTAGATGCAAATCTTGTATTAAAATTCACATAATAAATTTCCTTCTAATTTCAGAATTTAGACTTTATTCCATATGCTAAACTTTCACAGTGTGCTGATAATCTCTTCCAAGACATCATGATTTTTTTGTTAGGAACTTTTAGTTTCTATGGGAATGAGAAAGAAAATCATTACAAAACAATTTAATTAGTGAAATTTGAGCTAACTTCATGTCTTGTCGAAGGAAGTTATCATACCTTTTCCTGTTAAAATCAAAGAATCAGAAAAAAGATTGGACAGAGAATTAGCTTAAATCAGTCCCTTGTTTGTTTTTGTCCGATTTTATTTAGTTGGATTGGGCTGGAAATAAAGAAAGGAAATGATTCTATAGATTTCGTCATTTTGAATTAGGCTTAAGAGCAAAAGAGAAGAATCTGATCCAAATTCCAAACATGTCTAGGCCCAATTTGACCCATTTATTCTCTGCTATCTTGACCCATGTACTCTACCCATCAGCAGGGGCCGAGGACTGAATTGAACTTCATCATAGTACTGGGACAAATGATCGGTTTAGATTATAAGAAAAATAAAAGATAAAGGGTTATACTGAAAATACCAAAAAAGATAAGGTCCCAAACGGAAAATAAAAAGGCGGCTGTGTGGTTTTAGTTAAATTAAAATTATCCACGAGAACATTTTCCCTCTCCTGTTCACTCGCAGTTTCCCACTCCCAGCTATGGAGAATTTCTGCAACTGAAAAAACACAGCAGCTAAAGATAATTGCAAGCAAGCAAGCAAGCATGTCCATCTTCAAATCATTCACGACGAGCTCTTCCGCGCTTTGTCCCAGAGAAGCCAAAATGGCCATGGCCAAGTCTTCTCCTTACAGAGTACGTTTCTTCATCGTTTGAGAATATACGGTTGAAATCAATTTACGTGTTTGGCATTTTGTCTGTTATTTTCTTGGCGGCCGGAAAGTTTTTGCTGGATTTTCTGTTATTTTCGTTAATGGTTAATGTGTTTGTGT